ACACACACACACACTCACACACACAGACACACACTAAAACTATTGAGGACATGCAAAGGGTTATACCAATGAATGGAAATAGGTTTATGAATAAAGTAACATTGAATTATAGGCCAAAATATCAAATATATGAGATGACTAAATGTATAAATTGAGAATAGATACATCTCTCATGCAAAGTCCAAATGTTTTATGATGAAACTCTGCTCTTAAGTCACAGAACATAGCTCCATGTTTCTTACATGTGGGCAACATGAAGAAACTCTCTTGCAAGAACTGTATAAGAGTTTGGGGAAAATTAGCAATGTACAATAAGGAAACCTGAAAAACTAACTCAGCCAGATAATAAAGGTGAACATCAGCAGTGATGTCATTTGAATAGCATATCACTCTGATCTATGTGAAGAGAGTGGCACCTCATCTCTCCGGTCTTCCCCAGAACACATCCTCAGTCAAATCATGAGATGAAAATATCTGACTAATACCCAGTGAGGGACATTCCACAAAGCACTTATCAGTAATCCTTTAGACTTCCAAGAACATGTGAAGTAGAAATCTGAGAAATTGTCACAGCCATGAGAATCTTAGAGTGACCATATGCAATGACAACCCTGCATGGGGTGAAAGTACATTAGGTGAAAATAAGGAAAAATACAGATTTTAATTGACTGAAAATTATCAGTACTAGTTCATTATTTATAAAAAATGAATCAAAATTATATAGAGTACCCTGGCACCATGGTTCATGTCTGTAATCCCAGCAGCCCAGGGAGCTGAGACAGGAGGATTTTGAGTTCAAAGCCAGCCTCAGCATAGTAAGGAATTAAACAACTCAGTGAGACCCTGTCTCTAAATAAAATACAAAATAAGGCTGGGGAAGTAGCTCAGTGGTCGAGTGCCCCTGAGTTCAATCTCTGGTACCCTACCAAAAAATTATGTGAGAGTAGGGGAAACTAAATATAGGGTATTTATATGTATATATACATATATGTTCCTATTTATACATATATGTTTTCTGCACTTAGTAATTTTAAAAGTTTATTTTTAACAGTTGTTTTATTACTATAACAGCAATACAATGAATGAGTGGCCATAGTATTGGAAATAAACATTATTCATATCTCAGTGGAAGTATATTGACATAATAGGGTAAGTGATAGGAATGTTGTGTGTGTGTGTGTGTGTGTGTGTGTGTGTGTGTGTGAGAGAGAGAGAGAGAGAGAAGGATCAAAGAGTTTAGAGTGCATTAGAGTCCATTTAACAACAGAAATATTAAATTCAGAAAGTGGAATATATAGATTTGGATCTAATGTATTCAAAGCCAATGAATTGCCAGGAGTATATATTTAGAAAGTAGCAAATACTACTTTATTATGAATATGTTATATATATATATATATATATATATATATATATATATATATGCTATAGGAATTATATGTATGTATATATGTGTACATAGATATATACACATGAATTTAAGTATTCTTTGAATGCTATTTTGTATAGAGATAAAAATTGCTTCATGAAAGAACTCCAAATGTTGATGATACCAAAACAAAGAAAGAAATCAAAAAAGAGTGAGCACTCAGTGGAATTACCTCTGTAGAACATGTGAGGGTATAAAAGACTTAAAAAAAAAAAAAAGAGTGAACCAAGGGGTGGAAGCAGAATTTGAATATGAGAGATGACAATGTACTTAAAACCATGGAAATCACAGGAAGATGAAAGGAAAGGTCGTTGGAGAGTTTCAATTTTGAAGTTACTAGTGAGCTTCAAAAGAGACAGACTTCAGGCTGTTAGTCAGTCATGAGTGAGTGAGGTAGGAGAGTACAGTACACTGTACCTCATTACTGACTGAAGTGTGCATTTCAGAATTCTGTTAGGGTCCTGGCTCTGCCACTTGGTTTTGTCTAAATAATAGAGGCCTTTCGTTTTAAAACCTGATATATCAGGTTTTTTTAAACCTGATATATTAATTTACAAAATAATAATGATAATTAGTGTCTCATCAATGTATTCTAAGTATTAAATATTTATAGCATAATTGTTGGCATAGTATGTGCTCAGTAGAAATTCTTTCTATTATAGTTGTTGCATTCTTTAAAAATGGTTACAGAGCAGAAATTTGGAAAGAAAAATTTGACAATTGTTACTGACCATCTTAAATTATTCAGTGACCATATATAGGAATTTTCAATCATGTCAAGCACCATATTCAGTGAATGAGGTATTGGGAGAAATATAAGATAAGTAAATTACTTTTGGAATTTGTATCTTTAGTGTTGCTAAAGTTTAAGGTAGAAGTGCACTCAAGGCAGCTAAAAAGAAAAGGCGTTGGACATAACTGCATTGAAAAATAAAGGCCAAGGTTGTATTTAGATGACTTATGTGAATGCTGTAAAAGGTATAATATGAGATGGTTTCATATATTTGGATTACTGGTAATACACACATGGATATCTTCAATTATGTAATAGAGTTCTATTTGTACTGTGGAAAAATATTGTGTCATTCAGTCTTGACTCTTGGGTAAGATATTGGATATCAGAAACAATGATGTTATTTTCTTGATAAAGTATAATAATATGTTGTATTATGAACCATAATTCCCAGGAGTTCCTGTTGATTTTATTTTTCATTGTAGAGTAGTAAATAACAGTGTTGTGGTTGGAAAACCAGTGAAAAAATACCAGGAATGGAAGTTAACATTAGATTTATTTAACTCTCCATGAATAAAGAACTTTACTTCCTATTCATTTATTATTTCTCAACTTTGCACAAGTTGTTTGGGTATCAGTACCTCCTATAACATTAATTTTAAAGTGAGACAATAAAAAATGAAATTAAACATAAATACCTAAGGAATTTAAGAACTTTGGAAAAAATTAGTGATTCAGACTGACTGTTATAAAAATCTGTGCACTAAGAATTACAAGAAACTTGAACAACGTGATGGTTCATAATAAAATTTAGACTTATTAACATGCAATGGCTAATATATAAGTGTATTATCTATATAGTGTAATATATATTAACCAAACATGGAAAATTTAGTCTCACTGTTTTATAACAAATGTCAGAGACAAATTAAGGTTATCCAAGTTTTTATATAATTGTGACTGTTTATATGTCCCTGCCATAATTAGAGAGTTATGAAGATAAATAACTTAATGCTAAGGAAACAAATATTTATGAATCATCTAGATTTGCTATTTTTATATTATTCCTATATGCACACCTGTGTATTTGTATGTTTACCCAATAAAGAATGTGGCATATTGTCTAATACAGTCAAGAGTTTTGGGTAAATGACTGGAAGGTTGGTGGAGCAGGGATGGGTGAAATTATAAACTCCAGAACTCATGTTGCTGCTGTCTGAGATCCTATCTTCTCAACAGAACGCTTAAAAATTTCAGAATTTGTTCATATCATGGTTGGCAGAAAACTGAAATGAGATCTGAATTTGAAATGGAATACACTACAATTAAATCTATAGTTCTTTTTCCTGTACTCATTTGAAGCTCTAATGTATGAAAGAATAAAAAAAAGTATAACTATTTTTTAAAAGAAGCTACAATTAACATCATCATAGCAAATGAAGACGCATTTAAATATGACTCATCTAAATATAAGAGCAGAGCAAGCAGAAAAAAAAGAGAACTACCAAGAAAATTATTATCATGAAAATAGGATAAAATATTAAAGATACAAAATTAAGTATAAGACAATGAGCCATTACATCCAGAGCACCAAACAAACAAACAAACAAAACAGCAACAAAATAAAGAATACCAGGAAGTCTCCCAGAAGTGAAGGTTCTGAGGCTGCATATTTTAAGAAGCCCTCAAATATCTAGTCCTAAGAATTAGGAAATTCTCATCCTTGGCTCATTATTATGAAATTTTGTAACTCTGAGGGTAAGAAAAAAACTTGAATATCATCCAACACAAACCATTTCACATACACATGAAAGAGTGGTGCAATCATATTTGTCTCTTCAGCTGAGTTGTATGCCAGAATATGATAGAAGAATACTTAAAATAATGAGGAAGGAATGATTACAACAAGAACTGAGTATCCGGACAAGCTGCTGTAGTTGGGGAGGCAAAAATAGATATTTTCAAGCAGGGGGTGATTTATACAATGATCCGTTGTACAGTCATACTCTTTGGAAGAATACTGAGACTGTTTACTGATTTTTTTTTATCACCTCGTTTTTATTTCTAGTCACAGTTTAACCACCTCATATATAATACCTACGCAATTACATCTGTTATTAGTAATTCTCAGTTGTATACAATAGCTATTGAAAATTTTGCAAAGATTTCTATAGGGAATAGTGAATATCTTTTAATCTTTCCTCTGGATGATTTATTTTTCCTCTTTGCCTCAAGATCTGGGCTCTAGCTATTTTTGTACTATTTTCTCTCTCTTCCTATGCACACCTAAAGAACTTCTGCATCTGTATTTAAAGAATGGCTCCTTTCTGTGATAGAAGTGGAAAATTTTAATGTATGATCAATCAACTACATACTTCAAAGATTTCTGTGATTTATGACTTAAAGATCTCTATGAGTCTCAAGATTTTTTTGTAATCCACAAATGATTTAATGGACTTGTGATTATAACTAGAATTTAATAGCCAATAAATTTCAGAGGAAGCTTACAAAACATTAGGGTGCAACAAATTAAGTTTACCACAGTGACTAGAACATTGAGAGATGAAGAAGGAACTTGACCCCTTGGACATTACTAGCCAGAGACAGAATTTGGTACAAAAGCAATTTTAGATTATTTCTAGTGTACCAATCACAGAGTTTCACTGCTAGATGTTGATAAATATTCTTTGAATAAAATCAAAGGTAGTATATTTAAAAATTTATAAGTAACATACTTACTTATATATAATATGTACATATATATTTCTATAAAGATACATATGCAAGACAATAAAATTATAGTTTAATTATAGTTAATAGTCAATATTTACCCATATAAATATAAATTCTTGATAGTTTTATATTGCTTAATGCTTGAATGAAGTTTTGTAATTGTTAATATAAATTTTAAAAAAATTGACTGGGTTTCTAGTTCAGTGGGAGAGTGCTTGCCTGCTACATGTGAGGTACTGGGTTCTATATTCAGCAGCACATAAAAATACTTTAAAAATAAAGTTATTGTGTCCATCTACAACTAAAAAATATTTTAAAATAAAAATATTGATATATTAGATCTTTTTTTTGTCATAGCATAAAAAGTATTCTGTAACACTTCTAATTAGTTAATACTAACAGATCTCTTTCCCCATATCGATTTTTCTAGTTTCCCATTGTAATGAAGATTATTTCCTTCACTTTCTTTTCACATAATTGGGTGGTTGGCTATTACAAATCAAATGCTTTTTTGGTTAAAAAAAAAGTTTGCTGTGAATATCTGTATTGTTGTTGTATGCCAAATCCCTATGCTGAAATTCTATCTCCTAATTTGTCTTTGTGACTGCATTCAAAGATAGGGACTTAGAAGAGATGAGTAAGGTAAAAAACGAGGTTACATGACTAAGACCTAATCTAATATTCAGCAGGTTCTTTTAAAAAAATAAATAAAAACATAAACACAGAGTGAAGACCATGTAAAAACACAGAACAAAGGATTTATCCTAAAGCAAAGAGAAAGGCCTCAGAAGAAACCAACCCTCCAGAACTGTAAGGAAAAGCACCTCTTGTTAAGCATTTCAATCTTTGATATTTTGTTAGAGTAGCCTTACCACACAAATAGTGTTGAAAATGTAAAAGAGATAGATGTCCTAAAAATAAAAGTTTATTAATATGATAAAAATAAGATCCACCAGTTTCATACTTTTGCTTAGTATTTTAGTCACATGTTTTCACATAATCTACCCCTCCCAATTTTCTTCATGTCACATGGCTTCTGTTGAATGTAGATCCAATGACATTCCTTTATAAAATGTCAAATGCAATAATTTCTGACAATAATAATCATTTCAAAAGGGAATGATATTGCACATTAACCTTCTTCAGGAGGTTTTTCTTCATAACAGAGCGAATCATGTTGTGTGCGCAAATCTAGAAATTATCTTAATTTTTCTCTTGGGAAAGATGATGATATTATAAGCTTCCTAAAAAAAGTATGTAAATATTTACCAATGTGTACTATATTAGAAAGTATTATACTACATGAATATTGTAATGTAGTTCTCAGGAATGAGACTGAAGTAAAAACTGGGTGATCAGTAGAGGAAAGCAAGTTCGTCAGTCATTCCTAAGGAGAAAAGGAAACTATGCAACTGGTAGAAAGAGGAAAGAGATGGGAAATGCAGATTTGAAGGATCCCATTGCCATAGCATCAATAATAGATAATTTTAAAATAAGCATTTGTGTGTGCATATGGCTCAGTATAATTTACCGGTTATTCATATTTCCACGTGATTTTCCCATATGTGAATTCTTGGTTTTATGATCTTGTAAATGTTAAATATATTCATAGATATTTTAAAACTATAGTTAGATATTGATCTTAGATTTCAGATGGAACTACAACAACTTTAATTCTCTAATTATACATAGTGTTAATCTTTGAGAAGACACATTTATAGGTTTAATACTGAGAAATATACAACTTTAATTAGTTAATATCTGTTATGTGTATTTCTAAATAGTATACAATCCAGTTGAAATTAACATGAGTGAAGTTTACTAATATGCTCATTAAATTGAATATTTCTTAGAAACTTGTATCAAATTGAAAATCTATTTACAGGGAGGTTGTAAAGGATGATGAATCTGAGGATTGTTGTTTGTGAGATAGCAAAGAGGTAACTCTGAGCTGCAGTATTAGAATGGCATTCACAAAGTACATGTTAGTAAGTGCATCAGCTGCCTGATTTTGCATTTGTGTCCCTTTTAAGATTTAGTCATTGGATTTAACATTCTGAAGTCCCTGACTTATTTGTTCAATAACATAAAAAAATATTTGGAGATGTGTTGTACATCTAGCCTGTTATTTGATATGTATTTTTTTCATTGACCAACAAAGAATCACTAGAGTGTAAGAAAATCCGAGAAACTGTAATGAATTGCTCTTTCTCTATTTAAATTAATAACTGTAGTTCCCTTTGAAAATATTCATAGAAATATAAGCTGGTATTTTATCTACAACTGAGAGTTTGAATGATTTCGTGACTTTTTAAAACCAATTTCCACACACCACTACAGTATAAAACAAAACCGATATTTATTTTAATGTGGAATTTGAGCCCTGAGGCCTCTCTTTATAAAGAGGGATTTTTTCCATTTCTTTTTAAAAATTTTATTTTTTTGGAAAAAAAGTAATATTTTAATTAACATTCTTTAATATGAACTTATGTTACGATCAGACATTGCTTTTCAAATTCATGGGTTACATATTTAATTTGATATTATCACATTTATTTCAATTTTCTGAAAGGGTAGGAAAAGCAAATATGTCTTGGCATACAGTTTTAAAAAGAAACACCTTTGAATTATAAGAAGATGGAGTTCAGAGTTTCCTTTTTGTCTCAAAAGGAATGAGAAGAGTCAGCAGGGTGCTATTGCTCCTTGAAGATGTCTTTGTTTATTCCTCTTTATCACTGAATCCTGCAACCACATCACAGCAGAGTGTAGGGTACACCACTTTAAATGATAAGAGTTTCAATAGGCACTTTAGTGGAATTAAGAAAAATCTAACACTCTTCCACCGTGATGCCACATAGCTCTCTTCGTTGTAGGTTGTCATGTCAGTAAATTGTATTTAATAGGCCTGAGCTTGTCTCAGCGTGTTTCTGAAATAACAAAACGAAACAAAGCAAGTACATATTATAGGATTTATCTTGTGTCGACAGAATAAACCAAAACTGACAGTATGATAAATATAGCCACTTGCTAGAAACCAGATCGTCAAAAGAATCCTGCATTATAAAGCCTGTGTGTGTGTGTCTGCGCGTTGATGTCTACTTGTGTTGCTCCTGTTAAAAAATCTCTCCTCCTCTGCACCTAGCCTCCACCTCTCCCTAAGTGACTTTGTCGGGGTTGTAGCTCTCTTCTTCACCGAACATGCCAGCAAGGACCTTGAAGCGTGGTCCCCAGTCCGCCAGGTAGTCGTAGTCCTGGTCAGCATCAGTGGCCAGCGAGTCAATGGAGCTGAGCGACCCGGCTAGTGACCCTGCGCCCTCGTAGGCGAAGGTGGCCAGCGAGTCGTAGGGCGGGGCAGCGGGGTCCAGGTCGTGCTCCTGCAGCCTCTGATGGATGAAGTCCCTGATGTCCGTGCTGTCTTCCACTGGGGGCCTCTGGCGGGGCAGACAAAGAGAGTCTGGCTTGATATCCCTGCGGATTTTGTTCTCTTCCACTGCTGTCGGGTTTCTCAGAGCCCCGATGTCGAAGGCCTGCGTGTCCTCCTCCCCGCCTCCTTCGTCGTCATAGTGAATAACATTGTCTCTTATGTCTTCCTTGGAGGTCATCAGGGTGTCCTTCTTCCTCTGCCTGCGCAATGCGTCCTACAGCACAACTATGGCTGAGAGGAGACAAATTGCAATTGGGGAAAAGAAGGCAGATGAGTCATTTATCATTGCAAGAAAGTTAAAATTGATCAAGGCATGCTGTTTCCAGTCTTAGATTAAAAACACTACAATCAATAGGAGCACGTATGTGTTTATGTTTTTCTCATTGTCTGAAGTCAACTTTATTTGGAAATGATAACAAGAAACCACAGAACATTTATTCAAAATATCATTTTTGTCCTTATATTTCCGTATTTTAGACAAAAATGCCGGGGTGGGGATGGGGGGTGTTCTAACCATACAGAGTTGTAAGAATTGATACAAAAAAAGGGGGGCTGGGGATGTGGCTCAAGCGGTAGTGCGCTGGCCTGGCATGCGTGCGCCCAGGTTGGATACTCAGCACCACATACAAGCAAAGATGTTTGTCCCCCGAGAACTAAAAAATAAATATTAAAAAACATTCTCTCTCTTTCTCACTCTCTCTTTAAAAAAAAAATTCTTAAATATCATCATAATCTGCAATATATAAATATGGAGTATTACGCAGCACTAAAAAATGACAAAATCATAGAATTTGCAGGGAAATGGATGGCACTAGAGCAGATTATGCTTAGTGAAGCTAGCCAATCCCTAAAAAAAAATACCAAATATCTTCTTTGATATAATGAGAGCAACTAAGAACAGAGCAGGGAGGAAGAGCAGGAAGAAAAGATTAACATTAAACAGATACATGAGGTGGGATGGAAAGGGAGAGAAAAGGGAAATTGCATGGTAATGGAGGGAGACCCTCATTGTTATACAAAATTACATATAAGAGGTTGTGAGGGGAATGGGAAAATAAACAAGGAGAGATATGAATTACAGTGGATGGGGTAGAGAGAGAAGATGGGAGGGGAGGGAGGGGGGATGGTAGAGGATAGGAAAAGTAGCAGAATACAACAGTTACTAATAGGGCATTATGTAAAAATGTGGATGTGTAACCGATGTGATTCTGCAATCTGTATTTGGGGTAAAATTGGGAGTTCATAACCAACTTGAATCTAATGTATGAAATATGATATGTCAAGAGCTTTATAATGTTTTGAACAACCAATTAAAAAATTAAAAAAAATAAAAGAAAAAAAATACCAAAGGGGAAAAAAAAAAAAAAGAAAAGGAGTCGTTGGGTTACTCTTTTTTTTTTCTTACATGAAAATGTCATTGAGGAAAAGAATATTTCCACACATATTAGCAAAACAAAAAAAATAAAGCATTAATCTGTTGAATATCTTACATAAGAATCTATTTTTTTAAAATTCATTAAAAATCTATTGACAGAGGCTATGGTTGTAGTTCAGTGGTGGAGTTCTTGCTTGCCTAGCATGTGAGGCATTGGGTTCTATTTTCAGCACCATATAAAAATTAATTAATTAATTAATTAATTAAAGGTATTGTGTCCATCTACAACTAATTATTTTTTAAAAAATCTATTGACTCTTTCAGATTAAAACTTGTGATTTTTCCTGTGTTTTGTATGGATCATTTATACATAAACAAATAAACATGTTTATATATGGACCCCTCATATCCACACATTCCATAGCCATGGATTGAAAATTTGAGAAAACAAGCAATGGAAAAAAATTTCCATTGCTATACATAAAGAGTACAATTGACTATTTATTTTTGTATCATTTACATTGTGTTAGGTATAATAAGTAATGTAGAGATGATTTAAAGTTTTCAGAAAGCTGTGCACAGATTATGTGAAAATACTATGACATGCTTTATAAGGAATTTGTATTTCTGAAAAATTTGGACTCTGTTGGTGTTAGAGTTCTGGAATTAATCCTTAACATACCAACAGACAACTGTAGGTAAGAGTGTGTGTGTGTGTGTGTGTGTGTGTGTGTGTATGCATGTGTAGGTATTTAAATGCTTTCACTCTTGTACATCAGATAAAATAAGAGAGATGGAAAAATACATTCCAATTATAAATATAAAAATACATAAAAATTTGTGAAAATCATGAACTATTACCACTTTAATGTAATTACAAAGGAAAATCATTTTAACTTGAATAAAATTTAACTTGAATAAAATTAATAGTAGTGATATTTGTAGAAATAAAAGACACCAAAATTCCATTTCATATAAATTTAATTAATGTTTCAATTGAAAATATTATTTTGCATTCATTTGCTCTTTTCTTATATATTTCTATACATGAAAGCAGAAATTTTAGTTTATTTGAAAACTCTCCATTATTATTTCCAATAAAGAAACTCCCCCCAAATGTTTTATTTTTACAAATAGATTGACATGTAGTTTATTATTTATCAATATATTAACATTCATAATTCCCACTTGAAAATAGATTTAAAAATTAGAAAAAATATATTACTCAATAAAATATAAGTCTGTTAAAAATGTTATCATTTCCATTATGTTACATTGTACTGTTTGTAGATACTCAATGGGGCCATCAGAAGTTACTGAAAAACGAAGTACCTTGATGAGCAAAGTATAAATGTGATAAGACCAGGGTTTGTTTCAGTAAGATTACTTTGTTATTATTACAGACATAATACTTAAAATTAAGAAACAAAACTTTAAAATGCCAGATGTCTACTAGAATATTCCCAATTAGATTTACATGTCAAATGATTGTGGGGACAATAAGGATAGAAAAATGGAGACTAGTCAAAGCAATGCTAAAATCTTCAGTACTTGATGTTTTTCTACATGAATCTGAGGAAAAGGAACAAAGATTAAGTGCTGTAACCTGAGTGAAAATAATTAATAGGTTTATTTGTTTGTGTAGCAGTACTGGGGATTGAACTCAGGAATGTCCTACCACCCAGCTACTTCCCCAGCCTTTTATGTTTTTATTTTGACACAGGGTCTCGCTAGTTTGCAGAGCCTCAAACTTGTGATCTTTCTGTCTCATCCTCTTGAATAATTGGAATTAGAGAAATGCACTACAGTGTCTAGAATCTTTTGGGATTTTTAAAATATTTATTTTCAGTTTATTATTTTTTGAAAATAGATTGCATGAAAATTTTACATTGTCAATAGTGAGACAAAAAAGGTACAGTAAACCTCATTTCCCCTCTTAAAACATTTTCTGTACCCTAAAAAGTGTACAAATATAGCTTGCAGTAAAGCAGAGCAATAATTGACATTAAATTCTGTAGCAGTTATATGTGCAGTCTATAAGCAAACACTGATTCTGAGACAGAGGGTCTGGTCCATATTGTCATGATTATCTTGGTCTTCCAACAAAGACAGATTAGGAGGGTATAGCAAATACTCAGGGTGAGTAAGTGATGTGTGTGTCAATCCTATGATCTAGAAATCTGATTTGTCTGCATTATATTCATGAATTAAACCAAGGGCATCCTGCATTGGGCTCTATGTATTCTTTCTCCATCCTCTTGTCTTCTTCTTCACAGCCAGTCTCACCCAATAATGCAAAGCTGCCAGGACTAGTCGTTTCTCCATGTCATGTCTTTTCCATATTACATAAGACTGATCTTCCCAAAATGAAAATATGAACATGTTATACTGTTGCATAAACTTTTCAAAGACTTATAAAATAACTCTATTTGAATTACTACACCTTTAGCTTATTTATAAATAGTGTGAACATAATGACCTGATTTATTTTGAACAGCTCAGTTTTATTTGTGTTGCTCTAACTGAAAACTATAAATATTGTTTACTTCTGTTCTCAGAAGTGTTACCATTTTCATGATAAAACATGTGGTTGCTTTATTTATAAAATCCTTCAACTTTGGGATGCTGTTTCATGTACAGCTGTTCTTCAGACCCCAGCATTGAGTCATTCTCACTCAACTTTCTTTGGTGACAAAACATGGGGACTCCAATTTCTTTCTCTAATTATTCAAAGCAAACCCAGTTTTCTCAAAACATCCTTGGGCGTCTACCAATAATCACCATCATTATCATCCCATTATAATTTAAGTACTTAGTTCTAGAAACAGAATTTATTAAAACTTTAGTTTCTCACTACCCAATATTATAAAAATTGGAATTTTAATTCTTATTTTTTAGCATATAGAAATTTTGAAGCCAGGAGCAGTGTGGCACATGCCTGTAATCCCAGTGGCTCAGGGGGCTGAGACAGGGGGATAACAAGTTCAAAGCCAGCCCCAGCAAAGGCAAGGCTCAAAACAACACAGTAAGAACCTGTATCTAAATAAAATATAAAATAAGGCTGGGGATGTGGCTCAGTGGTCGAGTGCCCCTGAAGTTTAAACTCCAGTGGTCACTTTATTTATAAAATCCAAAAAAAAAAATAATTTTTAAGAGATAAAAACGTCAAAACAAAACAAACAAACAAAAAAAACCGAACAAACAAAAAGCAAAACTATAATTTGCAATCTTAATAGAGAACACATAAACCTTAATATAGGCAGTTTCCAAATTCGTGGTTAAATATTTTTAGTCTATATGTTGTATGAAAGCATACCCATAGTATGAAATTGTTACCTTTTTCATTTTTAGTATGATATTTAAAAATTGCATGATATATTCCAAACTTTATTCTAAAATAGACAATCTGTTAGATGATTTTGACCAACTGCAGATTAACAAACTGTTCTAAACACATTTTAGATAGGATATGCTAATCCCTGATGTTTAGTAGGGTTGGTATATGATATGCATTGTCAATTTAGTATATTTTCAACTTTATAATGAGTTTATGGAGACATAATCCTATCATACATTGAGAAGCATCTGAAATCCAGTATTCTTTATGTTTTTTTTTTGTAGTGGATATAATAGTGTCACATGCAATAGTAATAGCAGAAGTAGTAGCAGTGCTGGCCATAATAGTAGTAGAAAGTAAGTGTAAACATGGTATATGAGGGGATAACTAAAATTATAATGGCATTAATATATTACAACTATTATGTTTCATACTTTGTATACATGAATTTAATACAAGTACAGTGAAGTTCTCATCGTTTAGTATAATTTTCTGAGAGTCAACCATTTTGGTATGGCCTGTGAATCATTCTAATTACAATATCTACAGTAGTAACCTGTGCTATACTGAGTGTTATTAAACTAAGACAGGTACTATAGAGTTACCTATTTGTATGTACAAGAAATATGCATGGGAGCCAAAGGATATATTTGATAGGGACAACTTTCAATTTGTCTGGTAGCTTTTTGCATGCATGGCTCATTAAGAGACATTCCTTTGTATGGTGGAAATACATTGGCCTTCTAGATAGATCCATATATAAATATTTAACTTATTACTATTTAGGCAATGTTGGATTTCTCATATGTGGATTTTTTTATTTTACAAAATTGAATGCTTTTAAGAAAAGTATTGATTCCTCTATATGTGGCCTTTGAAAAAGCTACTTGAAAAAGGTAAACCTTTAAGTGTTTATACTTACTTCTGAAGTCACGGACTGTAAAATTTGGTTTGATGGCAGCCTCAGGGGATAATCTAAAGGAGAACTGCTGCCCAACAGGTGAAAGATCTCGATCTGCAGCACTGACTATCTGAATTATCTGTAACAAAGTTAAGATTAAACTTGAAGTCAATCAGTTTTGAAAGGAACTTTACATAACACGTTTATAAATCCATTTAATGAAGCATGCTACAGAAATTATACTTTTTGAATTTATTTCAACAGGCCAATTACTCACACATAATTTTTATTAACAATTTTCTAAATGTTTACAGGTTTTAATAGCAGGCTCAATTATAGGACACAGGTTAATTCTAAATCAATATATGTGAAACTGAAAAGCTTAACAGCATTGAAAATTCTCACTAATAAGCAAAATGAAATTAAAATGTACTTGTTTGCATTTTAAATTAGATGAATTGAATGCTTTCCAGCCTAAACATGAAGCTGCTTACTGGAAACAAAATATTTGATTATCTAAAAGTGCTAGAAATAGCAAAATTTTAGAACTGTTGTTTGTTAGAATGAGTTTTATTTTCATGTATAAAACAATGGGAAACAAAGAAAGAATGTGTATATTGTTTCTGTTGTTAGGTTAATTTTCCCTCATTGATTAGGAACAAAAAATATGTTTTTATAGATTTCCATAATAAGCATTACAATCCCTATTTCAAAAATGTTCTTCACTGTCACCAAAAGTAGCATATAGTCTAGTTAAATTCCTGATATTTCAGTAAGATGCTGTTAAATTTGAAAACAATCAAAAAGTAATTTCTCAGAGCCAAACTATAACATTCATAATTCACTATATAGATAAGCAAGTTACAATGGCTTTAAGTGATTAGACAGGCAGCTCAGTGGTAGAGTGCTTACTTAGCATGCACAAGAATATGGATTCCATTCCACCAAAAACAAAACAAAACAAAATCAGAATGGCTTTCAGGCACTTTTGAATCAACATATCCAATAGCTGTGTGCAGACAGACTAATTTCTGGAAGCATGTATGGGAAAAGACAAAGGATGTGTGCTGATCAGAGGATCATGCTTTTGAACTAAATTTCAATCTGGCAGAGGAAGACGTTATATTAAATTATGGTAACCTGCAATAATTGTGTAAAATATTCATCATGTGACTGATGCTATTAAATGATGCTTTTAATTTTTGTTTTATTTCTGGTTTTTATTCCTGGTTAAATCCAATCTCCTGACTACAATTTACCTTCCCATATATTTGGGCACACAGAGAGATACCTAAATGATGGATAGATGAATAACAACTGCTATTGGCATTTATGTATCAGTGCAGCATTAGTAACAAAATTAGGAATTTTGGATTCTGGATTCGAAATTTAAATTTCTTATCATAGCGCAAATTCTTTGCACAGAAGTTATTTTCCCTGTATAATTGTCATGAATGAGACTTTTATAATTTATCATTAGATGATAGAATATAATAATTTAGAAAGAATCTTGATACAGACCCTGAAAAATTAACTTTTTTTGACTCAGACCAATGTACTCCAATCAGAATTTCACCCCTAAAAGTTCTGTACATTACTAAGGAACCAATACTTGATTGTCAATTTTTATTTTGTTTTCTTAATGCTATTAGCAAGTGCCACTATTAAATTAAAAATATTTAACAACAAAATATCAAGAACATATTTTTGAAGAAAGAAAATGGTCTTAGGACAGCATATAGAAACTATTAAAGACATTCATTTATCTGGAAACGTTATTTGGAAAGCACTGCCCTGAAGAAAATAACTCTCACATAAATTTTCACGGGCTTACATAAGACCAACTTATTCCCTACTATTTCTCTTCTTTTTCTAAAAGTACACACACACACACACACACACACACGTATACATATATGTATTTTATCTATATCTATATCTATATCTATATCTATATATATTCAATAATAATCCAGAAGAGAAAGCTATTTGCTATGCATGGTTTGTATGCCAGGAGCACTGTAGTTGGGTCCCCAAAACAGAAAATGGCAATATATCACACACCCTGCAAACTCAAGGGACATTTCAGCACTGTGCTTTGAACATAAGTATTGAGGAGTAGGACACAAAAACCCAACAGATATTTTTTGGTATAGAGTTCCCAAGAACACAACAGATTTTTCACTATTTTGTCCACAAAAAAGAAAATCTGGTTGATCTCTAGTAACATGGACTTGTACCAGTAGTTCAAATCTTTTACTTTATTAGACAAATATAGCAAAATAGAGCTCTGTTCCCAGAGGCTAATTTCATTTGGAGCATTATAAGATTTTGATTAGTCTGATATTATTAATATTCCTAAGTATCCAGAAGACAAAAATGGCTTTTTTATATACTTTGGCACAGTGGAGCTCCTCAAAAGTGAAAAATAGCTAATGTGTAGAAGTTTTGCAAACTTCTTTTAATTTTCCAATTATCCAAATTAGTTAATTAATTTATGCTCAAATATTTATGTAGCATCTACTTTTAAAAACATTGGAGCAGAACAAGCGAAACAGACATCCATGAATATTATGGATGCTTTCAAGGTGATAAGGTTTACTCCATTCTGTGACTATTATAAATTAATGATGCAGATTTCTTATTTGCGGTAACATGATGAAAATATGTAGTCATGTAATTCATTTAGTGATTTCTTCACATCATCTATGAATGATTGGGACAACACAGTCAATCTAGAAGTCTCCATGCTTATGAAAATGTAACTTTACTCACCAAAATGGTGTCTGCTTGACACATACAATTACTGAACACTTGAAATGTTACTAGAGTGAACATGGGCTCTAAATTTTATTTAAACTTCATATAATAGTTATATTGATAGTACATATCACTGGTGCACAGCTTTTGGACAAATAATATACTAAGAAGTATTACATGCACAAATTGAAAGACAGTAAATTTTAAAGCGTGCCCTTTAAAAATATTGTTTCAAATGTAAAATTTATTTCAAGAATTAAAACTCATTCAATTTACCTAAGTGGTTATGTTACTTAGAAGTGATTGAAGTTTACATCAATATATCACCATAGAGTGTTTGCTCACAGTCAAGTTCTTTAGATAAGCCACAGTAAGAGAGTACAAAAATGGCAGAATGCATAATCCAAAGAACTTGCTAGGAAATCAAAACTTTATTCCCTATAGGATTATTTTCACATCCATTTATTCACCATCATCCACACAAGTTTAATATCTCTTATGATTTATTTTATGAGGACTTGTTCTGAATATGAGCATATGCACATGTATATTTGTCTGGACTTAGAGTTGAAAATATACACATATGATGCATCTTTAAACATGTTTTTTTTTTTTTTTTTTTTGGCGGGGGGTGGTGGGTTCTGGGATTGAACCCGGGGTTTCTTTACCAATGAGTTACATTTCACTTCTCTATTTTTGAAATAGGGTTTCACTAAATTTCTGAGGCTGACCTCAAACTTGTTATCTTCATTTCTCAGCCTCACAAGTCAATGAAATTACAAGTGTATACCACCAATATTTTTATATACTCTTGATTTACACTATTGTTAAGATACCTGTCCTGGTTTTGCATTTTCACAGACGGCTGTCTCATATGGCACAGATATTTCTGGAGGAAATTCATTGACATCTAAGACATTAATTAGTATGTTGACTTTGCTGGTTAATAATGGGTTACCTGTTGAAACATAAAAACATAAATTATGATTAAAATTGTTTTAGTTATTCTTTCTTCAATAAAGAACATCAGTGCAACACTGATGCTTAGGTGTCAGAACACAAACAAGGCATGTTACCAGAGTTCATCCCTGAAACTCACCATTAGGTAAGACGAACCACTTAGCTGGCATTTTATAAGTTTAGGGCATTTCTGGTGGAATGACTTAACTATCTTACCAGGGTTAGTTCACAAGAGTAATCTTTGCCATTAGCAATATTTTTTATTAGATTAAAAAATATAGCTTTCTAAGTTTTACAAATGTAGTAAAAATTTTACTATCTGCCATGTTTTACATCTTAAATGACCCTTCTGAAATTAATCCAGTCAGAAGTTTCTTCCTGAATAAAAGAATGATAAGTATCAAGAAGAAAGAGAGATTGCTTTACAGAAGTTATAATTAAGAAAATAGACTTAAGGGAGTAAAATCAAGGAACATTATAGAAAGCTAGGATATCTTGAAATTATTTGTTGGTTATATGAAAGAAAAGAATAAGCAAACTTTTGTTAGAGAATAGTTTCTTTCTACAGTATCAAAATAAATCTCAACTGAAAAGGCATCTGTTAAAATCCCATCACAGGGTTTGGGTTCAACCTAATAACTTACCCTTGGCTACCTGTCATTTGCTGAAGGATGCTATAAATAATTTACTACAAAACATAAAAATATTACTTACAAAACATAAATGTATTGTTATAAATAATTAGTTTGATAAATTATTTATAACATAATGCTTTAATATTTTGTAAGTTTAGCTTACAACATACAAAATTTATCTTTAAGATTTTACAGATGAATCAGTTGTCTCAAATTTTTAAAGGCCTACCCAGATCACACAGCTAGAAGAATGGGGAGTTACAAATGCAAGCCCAGGAGTATGAAACTGAAAGACATATATATTCTACCATACATTCTGTCTTGACTCTTCTGTAGAAGAAGTTAAGTTCTTCTACAGTGTTATTGAATATTCAAAATATTCTTATACACCTCTATCTGGAAAGCTTTAAATAAATGAGTACACAAATATTTTTGAATGACTGATTGTCACAAGTCTATAAAATTCAGTAGAAAAAAATTTAAAAATGTTGAACGTTAATATAAGAAATATCTACACATTGCCATATGTCACTGCGAAATCTACTCTTGTGTACCAGTATGGACAGAGAATATATGAAATGAGGATATTTGGTGTAATTATGAAAGATATGTTATTAATCTTGGAGAATGATTGTGAAAATACATATGATGTAGACATTGATATTGGTGAAAGCATATTAACTTATTTGATAAAAAAGCTTTGGCTTAGTTTTCAAAAGTTATTGAACCTTTCTTATTCAGTTATTTCACTGAGTTTCCCCATGTAAAACATATGATATCAATAAGTCCTACCTCATAGATTTGTTGTATAAATAAGATGATGTTTTACATAACTTTCAATGTTTTGGTGAAATTCTTATTTTTTTTATTACCATTATAGACTGTGGAGATTAGCTAGATACAGTTTTTTATTTGTACTTATATTTATGTAGTGCAGAATAGGGATAAAAGTCAGTAAATTTGCTAAACTTGGTTTAAATTTCTAAAGAAACTGTATATCAACAATAAAAATAAAACAAATGTCTAATACTTTAAAAAGTTAACAATGAATCAACAACATTCTAAAACACATTATACAGATTAACTCATTTATGGTTCATGGCAACTATTATATAGACACTATCATTAACCCTATTATGCATATGGAACTCTTAAAAAAATTAGTTTTAACTAAGACAAATCTTTGTTGTGTGAAACAATTCTGTGGTTTTAGGAGGAAGATTGCCGCTGCGTACGGGGTTGCTGAAGTGCTGAGCGTGGTGCTCAAAGCAGCGGCTTTAATAGAGATTTCGCACAGTCTGTTAGAGCTCCTTTCACTGTTAATCTGTAGCGGACCACTTTGCCAAGGAGCAGGAAGAACAAAGAAATCGAAAAAGAGACGCTTGGCTGCTCAGAGCCGTGGGCGCTTTGCTCCCATCTGCTTCCTCTTTCGCTTCGCTCTGGGCAGAGAAGCTGAATGTGTAATCAGCAGTGGATTGTAAGTACCCGAGGCAAAGAAAGCTCAGTGTGCCACACATATTTTTCCTTTTTTTTTTTTTTTGAATATTTTTTATACAGGGAGAGTTTGTGGATTGGGATTTTTGGCGGGGCTGTGGTTTCTGTGCCGAAAATCCACTCCCTGGGAGCCGCCATTTGCTTTCTGCTTGCTGTCTTGATGGCTCTGTATACACTGTCCGGCAGCCGCACCTAGAGGTTGGAGCTGGGCTGCGTGCCGAGCCCTGTCCTCCGAAGGCTGGACTGCAGCCTCGAACGTCTCGGTGGCCTGTTCATTGCTGCACCTTCGGGAAGAGCCTGCTCTGGGGTCGTTCTGCACCCCCCTGCCAGGGGACCCGTGCTCCGGAGGAGGGGGACAGAGAGCCACGGCAGCAGCCGCTTGGGCCCCTGGGGCCGGGCACCGGGCTGAAGAGCTGCGGAGGCCAGGGCGGCTCTGCTACGGTCGCAGACGAGCGCGGCGCTCCTGAGCGCGGCCCAGAGACGGAGGAGACAGCGGCAAGGTTTCATTTCTAGAAATCTGGACTGGAAACAGAAGCAGCAGTTTGTATAATCCCAAGAACTTGCTTATACCAGGAAGATGTAAGGGCAACATGAATATCATTGAGGAGATGTAACATGGTGGCAGGCGCAGAGAGATCAAGTCTCTGACATCTTCAACTGCATGGGCATAGGGAGCCGTAAACTGTCTAAATTCTGTTTGCTCAGGATCACTAGGCAATGCTGAGCTGACGTGGATCTGGGGTGTACAGGCTGGGCCCCTCAGAACACACACACAGAGCCCGAATCAGAGGCAATTGAGCTCCAGTTCGCCTGCTTCGTGTGACTCAGCACTAATGATCCCGCTGAAATAATTGGCCGGCCCTTAGAAACTTACAGAGGTAAAAGCCAACCGAGCCTTCATAGGCAGTGGCCACAGGACTGAAACGGGGATTGGTAGAGACAGTCAGGACCCACCCGTTGCATTGGTCACCTGGCAAAGGGAACAAACGGTCACCATTTGCATGGGATACCACCATGGCAGAGAAATGGCGTCACGGGCGGAGGAGATAACTGCATTGAAACCAGCGCGACAGGTGTGTAATCCCCTAGTCATCTCTCTCCACACAGCAGGGAAACCTTAAGGGCCACTCCCAGCTCTCCTGTGAACGCAATAACCAGACCGAGGGAATCAGGAGTGGTGCGGGACTCGCAGCGCAGAACTCCCGGCTACCGCTTCCACCAGTGCTGACAACTGAGGTCTCTTGCACCAGCTACCGGGGGTGTGGCTATAGGAGGGCAAGCAAATTCGCTGGGGGATCTCAGCCCCAAGCTCTACAAACTTAGGGTCTGAGGGAGACAAACAGGGAGAGTGAGCCCAGGTGTTCATGAAAACAGGGCTCCCAGGAGCAGCAGACCTGGAGTGTAGCCAGTATTGTGGTGAGCGCCACAGGTGAGCATGGCCTGGCTTGAGGAAACACAAGACAAGGCCCTAGACACTCAGGATTGGAGACTCGCCCAGTCTAGGAGAAAGAGCTGCTGCACAGTGAATGGTTCCCACCTATTGAGAGGAGAAGCTTGGCCCAGTGGGCACAGCTCCACCTACTGGAAGAGAAGTTAATAGAACGCTAGGACTGCATTTATTATTAATATTATTATCATTTTTTTTCTTTTCTTTTTTTTTTTTCTTCTTTTTATTTCATTTTCAATTTTTATTTGTTGTTGTTCTTTAACTTTTTTCAATGTTTCTATTTTTTAAAAAAAATTTTATTTTATTATTATTATTATTTTTTTTTAAATTTTAATTTTCATTTTTTATTATCACTATTATTTTTGTTAAAAATTTTTTTTCGTCTTTTCTTTCTTTCTTTATTATCTAATCTTTGTTATTCTTGTTTCTTTTGTCTTTTCATTTCTTTTCAATTTTCTTATCCCCCCTTCCTTGAATTCTACCTGCCTACTCTCATTCTCTTTAGTGACTTCTTCCCTTCCCTTCTAATATCTTTCCTCTCAAGTATCAAATAAATCTATAAGAGTAAACAGTAACTCAGCAGTCAAACAGAACAAGAAGTAACATGAGCAGCATAAAAAAGCAAGGAAGAAAAGGAGTACAAACAATGAAGGACAGCCTAAATATTCAGGAGGACCTAGAGTCAGCAGAAAAATGGTCATATAAAGAACTCAAGGAACACCTTAGACAGATGGAATGGAACCTTAAAGAAGATACGAGACAGCAAATCCAAACAGTGAAAGAACACTTTGAAAATGAATTACATAGACAGATAAAAGAAGAAGTTAAGCATCTTTATCAGGAGATTGAGATTATAAAAAAAAAACCAAACAATAACTCTAGAAATGAAGGAAACGATAAACCAAATTAAAAACTCAATTGAGAGTATCACCAACAGAGTGGAGCAAGTAGAAGCCAGAACATCAGATAATGAAGACAAAATATATAATCTTGAAAAGAGCCTAGCCAACTCAGAAAGGCTGGTTAAAAACCACGAGAAAAACATCCAAGAGATATGGGATAACATAAAAAAACCAAACCTACGAGTCATCGGGATAGAAGGTACAGAGATTCAAATCAAGGGAATGAGTAACCTGCTGAAAGAAATAATTACAGAAAACTTTCAAGAAATAAAAAAGGAAACGGATATACAAATTGTAGATGCATACAGGACACCGAGCACACAAAATCACAGTAGACCAACACCAAGACACATTGTTATGAAGATATCCAATATACAGAACAAAGAGAAAATACTAAAAGCTACAAGAGAAAGGAGGAAGATTACATTCAGGGGTAAACCAATAAGGTTAACAACGGATTTTTCATCACAGACGCTGAGAGCGAGAAGATCCTGGAACAACGTATTTCAAACACTGAAAG